CTTCCCCTTTGCCTTTTTTTTTTTTTTTTTCCTAAAGTTTTATTTTTTTTTATAGTAATGACATGAGAACAGAAACATTATTTTTCACTTTATTATACAAAAAAAAAAAAAAAAAAGCGAAAAAAAAGGAAAAAAAAACAAAACAAAAAACCCCAAAAAAACTCAAAAATAAACAAAACAAAACAAAAGAACTGAAACCCCAAGCAAACCCCCGTGTCCCGCTCAGCCGTACAAATTCCGAGTCGGGATTATTATTATTTTTTTTTTTTTTTTTTTCCTTTTTTTTTTTTTGTCTTTTTTTTAAACCTACAAAAACACTCTTTAAATATTAGAAAAAAAAGATGATTTTTTTTTTTTAATCTTTTTTTTTTTTTTTTGGGTTTTTTTTCCTTTTTTTTTTTTGTCTTTTTTTTAAACCTACAAAAACCCTCTTTAAATATTAGAAAAAAAAGATGATTTTTTTTTTTTAATCTTTTTTTTTTTTTTTTGGGTTTTTTTTCCTTTTTTTTTTTTGTCTTTTTTTTAAACCTACAAAAACCCTCTTTAAATATTAGAAAAAAAAGATGATTTTTTTTTTTTAATCTTTTTTTTTTTTTTTTGGTGTTTTTTTGCCTTTTTTTTTTTTAACGTAATTCACAAGAACTTCCATCTAAAGGATCCCGGGATTTTGTGGCAGTGCCAAAATGCACTCAGGAATTCTCTTGCAGCGCAAACGTCTTTCCCCACCCCCCTCCCAAATTGTCGGCGCTGTAAGAATTTTTCTTTTTTATTATTTCATTTTTTTTAACCTTTTTTTTTTTTTTTTAACAGAAAAAAAGGTGGGGGGAGGGAAAAAAAAGGTGGGGTTTAATTTTTTTTTTTTTTGTCTTTTTTTTTTTTTTGTACTAAAAACACATCCACTAAAACACGACAGTGCTGGGTACATTCAGCAGAAAAAAAGGGATTTTGGGGGGGGGGGTTCCCCTTAGGGGATTTTGGGAGGGGCGGCGATTAAAAATTGGGATGAAAATGAAAGGAAAATCCCAAAAGGATTGGGGTAAGCGGGAGGGGGAAACAGAGGGACGGACAGATGGACACTTGGGGGGGGGGGGGGGGTTTGGGGCCCCGGTCCCGGGGGGACTCGGGGGGATTGTCCGTGCGGGAGCCCCCTTGCCCCCGGGTTTGGGGGCACTTTGCCCAAAATGGTGTTTTTTCAGCCCAAACGGAGGCCAGGACAGGGGGTGCTGCCCCCACCTTCCCCTCAGCACTGAGGGGGTCCCCAGTGTCTTTGGGGGGGGGTTGGATTTGGGGTGCTGAGAGCAGCAAACCTGGGGGTGTTACAGAGCTGGGGGGAGTAGAGACCCCTCAAAACCCAAAATCTGCAGCATGCCCCCCACCCCCGCTGCCCCCCAGCCCTGCCGAGATTTGAGAAATGAGTGAAAAACCCCCCCAGGCCACCAACCCCTTCCCTGGGGGTCCCCAAATCCTGTCCCCCAGCCCAGCTCCTCTCCAGGGACAGGATGGGGGGGGGGCAGAAGGAATAAATCTTGAGCCCCCCTGCAATTAGTGGGGGTCTAGGAGGGGTCCCCAATGACACTGGGTGGGTTTTTGGGGGGTGGCACGGGGTGGGGGACAGAACCCTGCAGGGAGGTGCCGTGGGATTGCTGGTGCTCGTGTCTGCTTAAAAAAAGGGGGGGCCCTGCCAGGCCCCCCCATGCACCCACCCCGGTCCCCGCGGCCCCATCCCCTCCCGGGAAGGGGGCATTGACCCCCCCAAAATAAACCCAATCCACACCAAAATTTACAGCATGGCCCGGAGAGGGGGTGAGCCCCCCCCGGGGGGGAGACATGAACTGGTGTTAACTGGGGTTCACTGGGGCAAGGGGAGTTCTGGTTCCCCCCCCCCAGGATTTGGAAGGAAGGGAGAGGAGCAGCTTCACCAGAGACAAGAGAGGAAAATGGGGGGGTGGGGGGCTAGGAGAGGAAGGCAAGGAAAAAGGGGAGGGGGGAAAATGAAAAATAAAAAGATGGATCTTTCTCGTTTTATAAAAAGGAAAAAAAAAAAAAAAATCCAAAAATAAAATAAAATACAACGGCACGACAACCACCGACAACAGAGCGGGGGGACCCCGCGCCCCCCCTTGGTCACGCTGAGCCGCCAGCCCCGGGTGGGGGCGGCCCCGGTGCACCCCCCCCCGCACACACTCGGTGCCCCCCAACACACACTCACACTCACACACGCACCCACACCCCTCCCACCCCCCCGGGGACACGCGGGTCACCGTCCCTGGCCGGCTGGCGTTCCCAAGTGCCGTGGATGTGGAGTAGTTTCCCGGGCAGCTCCCGGGGCAGCTTCCAGACTGTACAAGGTTTTTGTTTTTTTTTTTTTTTTGGGGGGTGGGGAGGACCCCCAGGATGCTGGGGGTGCGCAGGGAGGGTCGTGAGGAGGCATTGTCCCATCGGCTGAGTCCTGAGCCCCTCGGCTCGTGCTCCGTGCCCGCTGCCGGAGGGGCTGCGCGGCCAGGGGATTTTCTTCCCATTTCTGGGTTTTTTTTAATTAAAAAAAAGGTGTGTGGTGGGGGACGTTGTTGGTTTGTTTGTTTGTTTGTTTTTTCCTGTGTGTTTTTCTTCTCTTTCTAGAAAGTCCAGAGCTGGTAGCAAGGGGATTATGGGGGTAGGGATGGAGAGACACCCCCCTGGAAAGAATGAAATTCCAAAAAAAAAAATCGCTTCCCCTCAGGAGTAAAGCAGGGGGCAGGGGTGGGGGGGCTCTCTCCTCGCCCCCCAGCCTGGGGGAAGCAGCCCCTGATCCCCCTCCATAGTGTGAGCTCGGCGGAGGGGTCCCCCTGGCCCCCGCTCCCCGCGCTGGGGGTCCCACGGGGGGGCAGGAGGAAGAGGAGGAAGGATTTTGAGGGGCTGCAGGGGGGATTTGGGACCGAAACCGAGAAACCAAACGACGTTACAAAGAGCTTGGCCGATCAGTTGGAGTCGGAGTCGGAGGAGTCCCCCGAGGAGGAGGAGGAACTGCTGCTGCCCTCTGAGTCGTTGTCATCCTCGTCCTCATCATCCTCATCCTCATCATCCTCGTCGTTCTGGGAGGGCGGTGGCAGAGAGGAGGGGGAGGTCAGGGCCATCGTCACCTCTTTGTCCCCTGCTCACCCTCCCGGGGGTGTGACCCCACCCTCCCATCGCTGCCCCCGGGGGTCTGGGGGTGGAGGAGGAAGGGCACGGGCAGGAGCCAGGAGTGATTTTGCGAGGGCTCAGCTCGGGGTGCTGGGGGGCCGTGCCGGAGCAGCGCGCGGGGGTCCTGCCCTCACCTCTGCCACTGCCGGGAGGCTACCCGACCCGCCTCGTGCCTCAGTTTCCCCCCTCTAAAGCCAGGGAAGGAAGAGGCGTGAGCTGAGACCAGCGAGGGGGTGGAAACACCTCACCTGTCCGGTGGCGAGCACAAGGCACGGACACGGTTTCTGCCCCCAGCGCCATCCAGCATAGTCTGATTTCAGTTGCACCGGTGTAAAGCTTTGACTCTGGTGACTTACTCGGCATTCACACTGGCGCAAACGGAGCCGAGACCAGACTCAGTATCTCCACCAGGAAAAAGACAGGAGATTTTTCTCTGCTCACTGGGGGCTCTGCACACCCCCCCCGCACCTCTACGTCCCGAGGCTGCTCCTGACTATGCCCCGCGGCTGCTCCTGGTGCCCT